GGCTCTGAGTGGATTGCACTCCTGCTCACTCAGCCCAATAGAGCAGTTTTCAACACATGCTTGCAGTATTGCAAACCCCATGATTTGAAAATCATGAGTCAGCTTCCTCCCCAAAATCATAACATTTAAAAAAATAATTACTTCAGGGTGCCTTTATGTGCCATCAGTTTCTTGAACCTGTAAGATGTACTCAGGTCACATTTCTCTCTCTCTCTTTCTGGGGTTTTTTTGTTTTGGGGTGTTTTTTTTCCTTATTTCCACTTAAAACTAAGAGTCTTTTTTTCTTTTGGCTGAAGGCTGAATTGGTCCCGAATTTCAGATCGACTGAGCTGAGCTCAGTCGTTCAAATCTGTGTGGCTCTGCCACTGGGCAAGTCTCCACCCTCCCATACCCATCAATCTGAGACTGCAGATACTCCCCAATCCATGGCAGGCATCCTCTGCGCAGGCCCCAAGCCCTGAGGCATTGGAGTTCAGATGCCCCCTAGTCATGCTTGCTCCTAGCCAGAAACCTAAAGGAGCAAGCCAGAGGGAAAGTGCAAACACAGTTCCCCCATTACCACAAAATTGTACAGTCAAGTTTCCTGCATTTGGGAAACTTGCAGGGGTCAAAACCAAAAACTAAGGGTCTTGCAGTCAGTATCATAAGAGCTGGCACTGTTGAGGGCTGGAGCAGCGTCTGGGCCTGGCCTTTGGGAACGTAGGTCACCTACTTTGGTCTGGGGCTTCTGCAAAGTAAGTGGTCACCACATCGGTGGTGGGGTTCCATGTACAGACCGAGTGTGAGCATGCAAGACTGGAGGTTCCCTATATTGCTGCTTCCAGAGCAACAGCATCTGCAATGCCTTTCCCTCCTGCAGGAAAGCATAGATCCTGCCTTCCTGGCCCACAAAGTTCTGTAAATGCCTGATTTCCCTGTGCCTCTTGTGCTGTCCAGGGGCAAGTCTCAGGACTGACTGGCTAAGCGGCAACTCTGCAGAAAAGGACCTGGGGGTTACAGTGGACAATAAGGTGAAAATGAGCCAACAGCGTGCCCTTATTGTGAAGAAGGCTAACAGCATACTGAGCTGCATTGGTAGGAGCGTTGCCAGCAGATCAAGAGAAATGATTATTACCCTCTATTCAGCACTGGTGAGGCCACATCTGGAGTACTGCGTCCACTTTTGGGGCCCCTGCTGCAGAAAGGATGTGGACAAATTGGAGAGAATCCAACAGAAGGCAATAGAAATGGTTCGGGGGCTGTGGCACGTGACTTTTGAGGACAGGCTGAGGGAACTGGGCTTACTTAGTCTGCAGAAGAGAAGATTGAGAGGGGATTTAATAGCAGCCTTCAGCTACCTGAAGGTGGTTCGAAAGAGCTGGACTGTTCTCAGTGGTAGCACATAATAGAACAAGGAGCGATGGTCTTAAGTTGCAGCAAGGGAAGTTTAGGTTAGATATTAGGATATTTCTCACTAGGAGGGTAGTAAAACACTGGAGCAGGTTACCCAGAGAGGTGGTAGAAGCTCCATCCTGGGAGGTTTTTAAGACCCAGCTAGACAAAGCCTGGGCTGGGATGATCTAGCTGGGGGTTTCAGCAGGGGGTTGAACTAGGTGACCTCCTGCGGTCCCTTCCAACCCTGATTTTCTACGATTCTAAGTCACTGTTCTGCTATGGTGCAGTTAGGGAGAGGCTCTGAAGGACTCCACTGAAAAGCAGATGCCACCTGGAAGCACATCTGATCTAGGTGTGTTTGTTGCAGAGACAGCCTCAGAGGTGGATGGATCCAGAAATGGTGGCAGAGTAGTACAGCGAACGAGTGTCCTATCCGGGCTTCAGGGAAAAGCCATGTGGTGCAGAGCACCTGCGACAGATCTGTGAGTCCTGTTCTGCCAGTATCGTTACAGGGGGGTTCCTGTGAAAGCCTCCTTCCATACCTGGAGATCTCTGTGCCCCAGGAGTGCAGCATGGACGGGATGAGGGACTGGGGAATGCATTTAAACAGAAATGAATTTTGGGACTTAGTTCAAGGAGAAAGCAGCAAGCATGTAGACCGGGGCAGGCAATTATTTTGGGCAGAGGGCCGCTTACTGAGTTTTGCCAAGCCACCGAGGGCCACATGACAGGCAGCCCAGGGCAGATTAATATTAATTTTCTAAAAATTTTAGGGGCCCCGCCGGCCGGATAGATTGGGCTGGCGGGCCGCATCTGGCCCCCGGGCTGCATTTTGCCCACCCCTGATGTAGACTCTGCTTCTAAAACAGTGGGAGATGATCTTTTTGGGATGCATACCGCAAATTACGTACCCCACCCTCCCCAAGTGCCACTCCGATCCCCTTCCCCTCCCCAATCTGCTGCTCTGCTTTCTGCTCCCCATCATGTGTTCCCTGTCTGGTTTGCTGCTCCTTTTTCTACTCCCTGTCTTATCTGCCATTATGCTACCTACCCCCTTCCTGATCTGCTGCATGTCGCACAGAAGCTGCCTGTGCCATTTGTGTCACTTGTGCTACAGGTTGGCCACCCCTGTTCTCTAGCATCTGCTGTGTAGATGACAGCCCCGTACCTGGCATAGTAGAGAGGAAAAATTTTAAAGGAGCCTGAGCAATATGTTTTGCTGTAGGAGATTTTTAACACTTGCCTCTTTGGTGCAGCAACAAGAAGAATACAACCGCCCTTGTTTCTCAAGCAGTTTTCTGAGTCAGAGATGCAAGGCACATGTGGCACTGAGCACAGAGCAGACAGAGACAGACTCCTTTGAAAGGGAGGGAATTCCTCCAACCCTTGCTGCTGTTTGGGATTTTAGCAAGGGATTCTCAAGGGTCTCCTTTAGCCAGGTCCTAGGAGCTGACCTGTCCGCTCTCAGGGCTGTGCTTTTGGCTGTTGGGAGAAGCATAAAGGGAACCAGGAGCTCCCGTTCCTCATCCCCAAGCCCTCATGTAGGTCACCTGCAGTGCAGTAGTTCTAAACCTGTTTTAGACTCAGGTCACCTCTTGGAAAATGTCAGCTCTTAGTTTTCCCTTGTTTTTTGACTACAGAAAAATAATAGAGCAATTCTTCTGTTGCAAAGAATTTGGAAAGACCACAAGAGGCCAGAATGTTTTTAACACCATGGGTTCTTATCTGAAATCTCTGGGTTTATCTAGGGAATCATGTTTGCACACCACCTAACACTGGTAACATTGCATGGCACCCTGCAGCACTCTTGAAAGGATCTCAGGATACCCCAGGGTGCAGCATCACTCTGGTTGGGAATCAAAGGTCTAGTGGTTGGAGCAGGGGATTAAGGAGTAAGAGTTAATGTTGCCAGGGAGGTCCAAGTCTTTCCTGAGGGGAAGAGGAAGCCTTGCGTCTCTGCTCCTTGTGGTTAGAGCACAGGAATGGGATCCCAGAGTCCTGAGATCCTTTCCCAGCCCTTCCCCTCCCTTGCAGCACAGCCTAGGAGAAGTCATTTCCCCTTTCCGTGCCTCAGTTTCTCCATGTGTAAAATGTGGCTCATGATACTCCTTTGGCTCATGTGGGTGATGATGAGATCATCAGATGTGAAAGGTCCTTTAGAAGCTCCTAATGCAGCATGCAGGGTTTCTGTTTGAACTCTGAAACTGCCAGAGGGATACGCTCAAAATGAATGTGCCATTGAATAAACCTGACCAGCTGCATGCAGCTTTGCACACCCAGGCATGTGGCGCTATCGCCATCAAGAATCAAGTGCCTCCAGGTATGTCTGGGGGTGCTGGGGGATGCATAATACAGTGCATCTGCATAGAATCGTATCCCGTCTCCCACATACTTTGTATCTAAGTTTGTTTTTGCAAGATCCTACTAGATTTGTTTCTGGATTTTAGGAAAGTGTGTGTGTGTAGAGGGGACCAGGAGACGGGTTTTGAGGGGAGCTATCAGTATGCCTCAGTGATGGGGGGATTAGAGAAATAGTTCTGATTTTTTAATGGAAGGCTTATTGCAAGGATTGGAAGCATAATTTCTCAACTCCCAGTTTAGCAGCCAAGCAGTTATCTCACTCTATAATGCTAATGACATTTACATTTCTATAGCATCTTTCATCCTCTGGGACCCCAAAACCTTCACAGTCTGCCAACATTCAGCCCTGGTGAAATGCAGCTGCCTCTGGGGTGGAGGCAGAGGCCAATTAGCTACCAGCAAACAGCAAAAGGGGGAACTTTGAATTTGAGGACACAGGAACAATCTGCTACTTGTACCGGAAGCACTGTGGAATCCCTCCTGTCCATGCAGAGCCAACAGGACCTCAGTCTCTGTCTTTTATATTTAGCAAACTTTTGTGCTGTTGCTAAAATATTGAATTAATCAATTAAGTCGCGTGTCAGTGTCTGGGAGTTTTAGAATTTGACGGCAATGTTGGATTTTTTTTTTTTGAAAGAAGCTTATGTAACAGTTGGGGATTCTATTAATAAAAATAATGGTTCTGAACTCCGGGAACAGCCATCTCTGTCAATGAGCATTAAATGCCAAACTTTGAAAAACATGCAGCGCTCATGCTTTTTGTTGGTGCCACCTCAGCTAAGCGGAGGTGCCTTTGAGGCAGGAAGTCTGGTAGGTGGATGGGAAATAGCAGAGGAGAAGACCAAGTCAGCTGAATGCATTTGTGGGGGGTGGGAGAAGGCAGGGGTGTTCCTGGTTGTCTGTTTAGTGGCATGATCAGTTTTATAACAAACAGCCCAGGAGACCTAGGGATGCGTAAGTGCTGGTAGTGGGGGGGCACAGCTCTGCGCCGCCACCACCCTCGCTGCTGCCGGGCGTTGGGTGACACACCTGCTTTCTACCTGTCCAGAGTGCCCTGCTACATCCAGCTGCTTTGTAGACTGAATGTGTTGTGCACTGTCAGCTCCCAGGCAGCCCGTCCTAGTCATAGATGAGGTGCTGTGGTGCAGCGTGGAAGGGAAGGTAGCTCAACACTGCCCAAGCTGTCCTGGCCTGTAGTTGAATGTTGGCCTTTGTCCTCCACAGCTGTTCGGCTGGCTTCTCGCACGGGCACTTGACAGACATCTGGTTCCATTACACAGGCCATTTACCCTTTTCTCAACTAGCTGCTGTTCCCATCCATTCTGGTGCTGAAGCTTTTAACGTGCATGCTGCAGGAGAAGTCGTGGACCTGACCCAAAGCCCACTGAAGCCGGTGGAAATTTGAATTAGATCTGACATGAGTAGCAGTGCAAGGACAGGGTGCTTTCCCACAGAGATGGACACCTGAAACCTCATGATAATCATCTCTCTAGCACAATCACATCTTCTAATAACCTCAGTTCCCCAAGTCAGCGTTTTTGACACCAGTCATTTCCAGTAATGAAAGGTGAGAATAACGAGCCGGTCCACACTGGACACAGGTAAATTTAAGTCTAGAGTTGAAGGGCGACCCTTGGACTGAGAGTCAATTCGGTGTGCTGCTTGCCTTGTCCCTGAACAATTATAGCCAGTTGCCCTGAAAAGCAGCTGGCTCTCTGTGTTACTGTTCTGCAGGGGGACCATAAGGGGCTTAAGGGAAGCAAAATGAGATAGGAAGGGAATGAAGTTCAAAGAGAGGCTGCCATGGCTGGCAGCCAGAAATAAGGCCTGACCGTTGTGTGCGTTAACCATGAGGTTGTGCGGGAAATTTACAGGAATCCTTTTGCCTGGGACTTCTGGGAAAGGATTACACTCCAGGGACTGGTTTTCACTTGACCCTACAGCAGCCAAAACTTACATCAAAGTGGCTTTGCAAAATTCGTGGGGCATGGAGATTTTTTTTTATTTATTTTTTTTCTAATATTCAAGTAGGCAGAAGGACACTAAAAAGGTTTTAATGTAACATTTTACAGGTAGGTCGCATCTACGATTTAGGGATGTAAATGTCATTTAAAAAATATCCGTTGTACCTCCTCTAATTATATTGGTTAAATGGTTAACCTATAACAAATACCAAGTCCTGGCCAGGGGGGTGTGGAGCCCAAGGCCGCAGCGCGGGGAACCGGGGCCATGCACTGACCTGCCGGGACACAGCTGCTGCTGGGAGCTGCCTTGCCTCTTCCCCCCTTGCCCTAGGAGGGAGGTAGCAGGTAACAGGGCTGGGGATGGTTTAAACTTTTAAGTAGTCTGTTATCTCCCTCCAGCTGGTTTCCAGCACCTGTGAAGAAGCAGCTAATGGTTTACTTGACAAGTCACTAGGCCACCTGCTGTTTTTCTCCTTAACCTCATAGACTATGGGTCCTAGTTATCCCTCATCCCTCCTCCTCCTTTCTCTTTC